ATATATAAAAATCAAATAAGCAAATAAAGAAATGCTCATTCGCTTGAACTTTACATATCAATATTGCTACCGTATTCAACAGCCTCTTACCTTATAGTATTGATGCAGTACAAAATATATTATTAATACAAAACTACGGTTGTTTGTAAATTACAGTAACAACTGCTTCTCTAGGGATCGTATAATCATACAGCGCAGTTCTATAAATAAGACCGTCTTCCATTGGCAAGTCAGAAGATTAATTCAATCGATCGTTCACCCACTGAAAATTGTTCAGGGATATTGGTATTAACATCGTATCTTGGTAAGGTTTTTAAGTCTTCTGCTTATACTTTCCTTTGAAGATAATTGTTTTTTTTATAAAATAATCAAATAAGATATCAGAATATATCAAAGTATACAATACTCATAAGAAATATATAGTGTATTTAAAAATTATTGAAGTAATATCAATGGATTTTGTAGTCATAACTATGTAAATGGGAAATTATGCCAATTAAGATATAATAAATTGAAAAGGAATCTGCTCATACAGAATAATCGCAATTGCTTTTGTTCTCCCACTTACGTTTTGGAGTTCTTCAAGGGAAAAGTGAAAAACTACAACTGACATCTAGATACTATCATACTAAAAAAAACACTAAAACGTTTAAGTTAATATTGTTATTAACTAGCAAAATATTATGGCACATTAAAACCAAATTATATTCTAGAATTTTGATTGAACTATCATGATGTTTCAACTATAACTAAACGTATATAATCGATTATTATCATTACACAAGGAATGTAGATTATATTATGTTCCTTAAATGAAAATTATACCAAATACATTTATACGAAAAATGAATGCTTTGTTTTATCCTTAAGGTTATCAATGCGATAGATAATAATTCTTTCAGCTTTACAGCATGAAAAGTCAATTTGCATGTCATAGAAGCCCCTCTACATAACTGTAAAGCTCATTAAAACATATTTTGTAGATCAACTTGAGTATTATTATTCGAATTGTTGTTAGAAAACATATTAGCCATAAGGTAAACAGAGATGTTAATGAAAAGATTTCATATAATACTATTGTATTTATTCTTGATACCAAAAACCTTTTCAATTAATACCAATAAATCTCTTTAAGCCTAGAGAGGCTAAGTCAAGAGTGACTTACTTCATGATTTTTAAAAAATATACAGGAATGAAAAGGTTCTTTTATATAATGTTATAAACGATGAAATCTCTCTTAATATACAAGGTTCAGAGGATCGCGCAAGTTTGTAAATCTACATTGTTTGTCGACACTTCGTTGCCATAAAATTTTAAGTTTTCATGAAACTAAGTTGCTTTGCTTGTCACAATTTGCGAACATTATTTTACTATTATAACTTTAAAGTTTCGTGGCATAAATGAGCTATTTCAATAAAGTCACAAAGAGTAGGAAAATGAGAATATATTGTCATAATAGGGAAAATAATGTAAAGAAAAAATGCAAGATTACATTTTTATTCTTTAATCTATATGTCACATTACTTTGAACAAAAACATCATTTTTTTTAAATACAAAATATAATAAAAATGCTTTCAAATATAAAGAGTATTACATTATTTGGTTAAAATTCGGCAGGGATACAAAAGTAATACAAAAACAAGCCATGAAACATAAACAATATTTACAATTTAAAATTATTCACTTTAATATTTACAACTTGCAAAATTTTGGAGTTCTTTGAGTAAGAAAAGTTTCTAAGCAAAATCATTTTGTTTATGATCCTTTTTAAAACATATATTCTTGTATACAATGTAATTATTTCGATCTGACCTTTCAGTGAGAGAAACTATCTATTAGCCAAATAAAGCTTCTTATTTAGTGAGCATCACAAAAATATACTCATCATTACCCCACAGTAGAAAACTAATAAGCATTATATTAAATTACTCATTGAACATCACATAGTTCAAATTAAGAATTAACATTACAATGAAAGCTTAATTGATACAACTAGAATTTATATGCTAAATTTGCTGTATAAATTACAATGACAACAACTCTCTTCGATACACTCAGTAAAATTATATTTAATTAAATTACCTTTAAAATACACACAATTTCTATTTATATACCTACACAATATGGTCTACAAAAACATTTTTTCATCCTTTACTTTAAAATATGCCTACCAGGTAAATGAGATCAAACATCGAAATCCCTACTGAGACTTTACAAGAACATACTTTATTTTAAGTTAGTATTATACGAGACACTTCCTTTGTTTTACAACATTATTATTCTTAGAAGATAAGAGTACCGTCAGCAATAGAGTTATATCTTCCTATCACCTATATCTCTGTTTCCAAACAAGACAATACCTTCTCAATGAGAAAAGATACGGAATATATCGTAAAGAATATTTACAAAATTTATCCTCATATTTTTACTGATTAACATTTATGAATATTATTAATTAGAAATTAGCATATTATTCGATTAATGAAAATGTATTAAAGATTGACTTTCAACAATTTTATGTGTGTTATCTCTTAAAGCACAACTTTATTTTTGTAAACTTTAAGAACATATAGTTTATGAGAAGTATCAGCTATACTAAACGGCTTATTTAACCTTAAACTAAATACACGGCTTATGACTTAATATAAAAAATACTTTATCACAAATTGTCCACTTTTCATAGAAACTGTTCACAAACCATGGATATTTTCGGAATTCTTCCTCACGGGACCGAAGTTTTTGCACTGTAACAAAGAATATATTGTTTATAACCTTCAGCTGTTTTGTATCCCCTGTTACTTAATATGAAACATTTATGAAAGTAATTCTTTGCGTAATTATTATTGAAACTGTAAAAAATTTCATGAAAGTTCACTTAAAATATTTGCATTTGTGGTTGGGATTCAACATAAATTAAACAGTTATAAAGAATAACATGAATGCTATTAATCTAATTTATATTCTTCATTTATTTATTTTCCACGATAACATTTACTTCCGACTCTCCTACAATTTAGATAAAAGAAACATGACGTAATAGAAGAAAAGTAATGAACCGACTTGTCACACGAAAAAACTATCGATTTATAATTATTATTATAGATCAACATTATGTGAAAATACTAAATTATTGACAAGGTTCAACAACCTTTAAATTGAAAATCGATATAATTTAAATCGAATGAATAAATAAATCTTGATACAAAAATGTGATAATAAAAATTATTTAGAAGTGTTATAACCAGCTTGCTAATGAAAAACACATACGTTGCTGTCGTAAAACTTCCAGAAGCAAACAATTATCATTAAAATAAGAAAATCTTAATGTTTTTAGAATTATTTTCATCATAACTTACTATTGTTTCATTATTAATTAAATGCAATTTTATTGGAATTACGTTTTTCGTTCTTTCACACTTTTCTTTTTTTACTGTTAGATATTTTGGTCGTAATATCACCATTTCAAGTTAAACTCTTATATATTTAAAATTTCATAATAAAATAAATAAATTTCAGAGATCAAAATAACACATAAAATAAAAGTTACTAATGAAAGCAATGTGTGTCATTCGCAAGGTTAGACTCTATGCAAAGTTTAGCAGGCAAAGATGTGTTACAACTAGCGAAAAGTATATGAATTAGTAAGAGCAGTTTATTTGTATCACTTTGAAACATACGGATATTATTAAATAAAAGAATTCACATTATTCGGAGTTATATACATAATTTTATAAATTATAAACACAAAAAAGAATAAGAAAGATATTTTGTTAATCAATCAATTCGTGAAAAAAAGTTATAGGTTTTGTATCATATAAGTTATCAAAAAGTTACAGGGCAATATTATAAAATACGCTATAATTTATTTTAAGAATAAAATTAAATTTAATTAAACTAAATAATGCACAGAAAAATTAACAAGATTTTTCAGTAAAAAAATGTTTTACAAATTTATCACAATGCATTTTTTGTATTACTTCTTGTCTGAATTATCAAAATAAAAATCTTCATATAATGGAACAAAAGTTGATTTACATAAAAAAAACAGCCTGAATAGGTCTAAAGGATCTGAGGGATATGAAAGATCTTGCAGGATTATGATGAATAGCTTTGCAACATGCTACACGTCCTTATGCTCCATAAATTTTGTTAAACATATTACTTATATTTCTCAAAATACGTTAAAAATTTATTAAATCGAATACAAACTTCATCAATCATATTTTTTATATACAAATATGATAAATTTAAACATCATTTTCAAATTTATTTTTATAAAGTAAAATATTCAATTCGTTTTAATACTTCGTTTGATTATATTTGTTTAAATAGAATATTTTTAAAACAAAATGGAGGAAGTAGTTGAAATTTACGATGATTATTTGCCGTGCCAACTGAAGTCCTTATAAAACAGCTTCGTTTGGCGCCTCTTAGCTGTCTGACCTTACTTAACAAATATTTATTGAAGAGATTTTTAATTAAACATAGCATCTTTTTTAACTTAATTTAAAATTAATTTCGTCGCCTTGTTATGACATTCTACTTTCAAGTGATTTAGAGTTTTTGTCATTTTGTAATATAAAAAGTAAGATTTAAAAACGAAGCTTAAAAGAAAATTCAAAAAGAAACGTTTTTTGATTATGAAAGATTTCTTGTTTTTACTCACTTAGCGTTTATAAAATATATAGTTGTGATTTCTTCTATATAAGAATTAATTATATTTGTAAGTATTACATGTGGTGTGTATAAAAAATAAAAAAATAAAAAACGTACTTTAAAATAGCTATGGTAATGAAAATAATATGCAATGCAACTTTCTACAGAGTTATCTCATGAGCTATTTGTAAAACTATTACGTTTTACAAAGTACTTCAGCGATACACTACAGTGACTTAGTGAACAAAGCAACTTCCTAAAACTTTTTCATAGCTCTGATTTATGAAAACTAAATTTAATTTACTCACGTTTCTATTCAAACTTTACTGAAGCTCTGCAGTTGCTATCTTTTTATCTTTTCTGTGCACCTGTGAGGAGAAAAGAATTTCATGCCTTTCTTCGTACTGTTTTAGTTTGTGCGTGAATATTTATATTGCTTGTTATTAAAGAAAATAAAGTACAAAGGAAGCAAAGCCAATATATAATAGAAATATAAATTGATATACTTACGTATTCTGGTTGTGAGATTCCGAATGAGAGGCGGTGGGAGGTAGGAATCGCGCCAAGTGTCTTTGAAGAAGCAACTGTCTGAATGTTTGGCGAAATTGTCGAGACATAGAGCAGTACAGTATGAAATTGATGGCTCCGTTCAACAATGCCAAAAAATCCATCAGCTCCCCAAACAAATCGTAGCATCGTTTGAAAAAGCACCATCCGAGCAAACCGCTCATTAATCCCAGAATGCCTTGGGGTAGTTCAGTCACTAAAAACAGCAACAAAACTGCCAACAACATTTTTGTTGTTCTATCTGTTCTTTTGTCTGCTTTATGTTGTCTCTTCACCATTTTTTCTGCAGCGGGACACGCGCTATAATTCCGAAGATTCTTTTGGTGTTGATTCGCGCTATATAAAGCCCGAATAAGCCATAAACTGATGACTGTGAGAATTGAACACGGCAGTAGTTTAATAAGCACAGCATGAACCCAAAAATTGACCTGGTACAGTCTGCCCTGGTTGTCAGAATCAACGTGATAGGCGATATCAGGATTGCCATGTACGTCGGTGACATTCTTTGTGTGTATATCAAATACCTGCAGAATAAAAATAATTTGAATGCATTCGATGTTAATTTGCATTGTATGAAAAGTAGGTGCAATGTTCGACGATAAATATGCAACGTCTAACGAATTCTACATATATTCTAATGAATGCATTATGTTTATATTAGAGAGTGACCTTGATGACAAAAACAATTTACAAATATGTACGAAAACATTTGTATAATGATGTAATAATTTTTTCTTACCATAAACGTGGGTATACAAAGTATGGGAGGCAGAATAAAACTTGTTAATATTGCAATACTACATCTTTTCTCAGTACATAAGATATGGCTCCGATCTGAATATCTGAAATTAAATAAAGAGGATAAAGACAAAAGAAAACTTTATGTTCTAAGTAACAATTTTATATTAATATGAGCTCTGAAATTAATTTACCATATAAGAGCTTATCTAGAGCGAAAATTAATTGTATTGAAGAATTTTCAAAAGACCTTCTAGGCGTAATGTTTTCAATACGTTAATACATGAAATTTAAGGAATGAGAAACTTACTTTATTGCAACGTATCTCCATATAGCCAGCGACAAAGTGAGACATATCGAGGCAGTATGAAGGATTTGTGCAAAATGCATATGAAATAGCAGATACATAGCCCATGAATATGGAAAATCCAATTTCTCTGGTAGAACCTAAAAATAAAACTTGGATTTAATACAGCATTTTTCGTTTCTCGGCACTTTTAACGACGAACTGTTACAACGTATATGTAAATATTCATATTTGTTCATATTTTGTAGTATTCATATTTTCAGACTATTTTTATATATATATAATTACGTGAATAAAATTTATAAATTAATTAATCTAGTTAATTTCGTATATTAAAAATAAATAAGGTAAAGCTTATTTATTTTTAATATACGAAATTAGGGTTACGGCCACATAAAAAAAAATTAAGGAAATATATAAATTGTCCTCTATTTATCTGTTCCTATGTTGGCTGAACACTTTGTTTCCCTACACGGGTTAGCATGTTAGTATTATAGTGTTATATATCAATTGATTTAATTCAATATATTGTTAAAGTTAATTATCCTATTCTTTTTTTATTTATAGCTAATACTTACATCGAAATCACTTTAAAAATATAATATTACGTAACGCTTTTAATCTTTTAACACATTGTTTTTGTTCACATATGAAATTTAAACCACTTAAGTTAATTGTGAATTGTGAAGGTAATAAATTATATTATTATCCAACCTTTCTCTTAATAAAGATAGCGATAAAACTCGCACGGTCATGCTATTACGGACCACCCTACATTATGGTAACACGTCTAAAAACTCCTGACACTTTTGGAATTTGAATAGATAACAGATAATGTCCAAATTAACTTGTCTAATAAAGTCGTTATTTAAGACCTTTTCTCTTAAGAGAAGGTCTTTAAACCATTTAAAAAAACAGGGCAATTTTTATGTTATATATATTTACAATATAGAAAAAATCTATATATTTCAAATATTGATACACCGTAGTTGAAAAACAGACCGTTATACTAAAGAATCTATGCATTTAAATGTCTTTCATGTGCTACACTCTTAATATCCATCCCTTTCTAAGATAAACTATGTAGAAAGAGAATTCTTCTAATAAAACAATATAATTTACAAATAGTACTACGACATCACAATATCAATTTAGGATCATTCGTAAATAATTCATTACTCATAAAAAAATATATTAACTTTAAAATAAGTGCCAATAAAAAAGTTTTCATGATAAATTCATGACGATTATTATGAGATTTTTATTGAATAGATTTTACGACTGGCCTCCATACACATATTTTTAATGTTACGAAGACAGGATTCATGAACTATATTGAACATATGCAAATTCTTCTCCAAACTCACCAAGTACTTGTATATTGAGAAAGGTACGTATTCAAGCATGACGAAGACGTCAGCGACCGCCAGCCACTTTAGCAGACGGTTGATTGGCGCCGCTGCCATATCCCGTCTCGTCAGTACAGCCACGTTCATTGTGTTCGCCAACACACCTATTGTGCACACCTGAATCATAAAAAAATCAATGAACCTTATTTTGACACAGGTCTGATTAAATATCACGTTTATTACTTAAACTATCGAAGGACCAATTTTATTAAGAGTGAACTCTTTTTGTTAAACTATGAAAGTAAATGTTTTATAGTGTATTTATTCACTTATTGAACTCCTAAAGTCTAAACGAATAATATTAAGCCGTACTAAAAACTAACTTTAAAAAAATATTTTACTGCTTTATAAGGTGAAAACCGGGGATTTTTTAGCTGTTTATTTTAGAGAAATATATAATTTTTTATTGATAAGTTACTTTTATTTCTAAAGAAAGTAAAATAATTCTATTGTTTTAGTATGGTTACACGTATTCATGCCGTCTTTTTAAATAAAAGATCACCGTTTTCTTTAGTATTCATAAATATAATAAAAAATGTGGAAGAAATAGTTCATTCAATGATTAATTTCATTTTAAATATTATCATTATTTATTTTCGTTTACCATTTTACTAATGGTTAGGAAACGAAATCCATCACTAAGGTGTGTCACTATTTCTATTTCTAATAACAATAAACTGCGAATAAAAGGTTGGAAGGTAATTTCAAATAGACAATCCCGTGTAATTTTTAATTAAAGTAACATTGTAATATTAAAACAGAGCACAACTTTTAAGACTCTTTGGAATGGAAATTATGTAACAATATTTCGGCTAAATAAGCTTTTCTATTGACAGAAAATGGCTAATATTGTAATTCTATGATTATATAAAACACAGCTATGGTGAATCTATACAAAGTTGAGAGTAGGTGTTGTTTGAAAAAGTATAAAAAATACAGCAAAAGTAAAGATAATACATATAACAGAAATAAAAATTCTGAGGTATACACTCTGATATAAGGACGAAATGAAAAGGCAACACAAATAAGCTAAGCATTAACTTTTAATCATTTTATTTTTTTTATATAATACTACTCTTTTCTAACTCATATATATTTATAAATGTTATGAAATAAAAACTACTGAATCTATTTTATAAGAGAACATCTATTAGAATAATACATATTTTGTGGCTATGTTTTTTCGGTGGCTATATATTGACATATTTTATTTAAGAGAAATGCTCACAATTTTACTACTAAAGTAAATATATAGGTTTTCTTTCGTTACCCATATTATTTATCAAAGGAGAAATTTGAGATGTAATTAAAATTTATAAAGCCAATATAAATTGAGCAATTACAATACAAATAAAATATCGAACCAAGGTTAATTTTAAATTAAGTACGAATTTTGAGGAAAATAATTAATTAATTGCCATTGTAACCCCTTTCCTGTTCCCTAAAAAGGTCCTCTTGAAATGGTGACATTGCCAAATTTCTACGACTATTGGACCTTTTTACAAGTGACTCTTTATTTAAACAACCAGTCGTACTGCTTATTAAGAAGAAATGTTTAAAATTTTGCGCAACAGCTCTTTAATGTCGAGTAAACAGGAAAATTTTTCCTTTACTTTGTTTTTGTTGTCAAAAAAATAACGAGAAAAAGTAATGTAATTATATAGGATTTTACTCGATTTATTTATGTAAGCTAAGTTAGTATTCATACTTTATATATGATCATGCTATTTTAATTGTCTAGCGTATAATAATATTCGCTTTTTATGTACCAAATCTGCTTATTTTTTATTTATGACGACTTAAGAATTTATTTTATAGAAAAATATAATATGTATTTTATTTTAGTTATATATATTTATTTATTTATATTTTATATTGGTGCTAAAAGAACTATGTATGTACACAAATTTGGTGTATACAAATATATCCATAGGTATATTTGTATATGTCAAATGAACGTCTTTCTCACGAAAACTGCTTTAATAGTGTGAAAAAAATGAACAATATCCATAACAAAATTAAAAGCTTAGAAATGCATTATATAATTTTCTATTAAAAATAACTACTACATAAATCTTAAGTTAGTTTAAAATGTGACACTATATTATTAGGATGAAAATGTAACCATCGTAAGTAAAATTCTTATTCCATTTATAAATTCATTTACTACCACATTCATAGAAAGCAACCTGAATTATGTTTGGTGAATCTATAAAGAACAAAATATGAAAACTATAATATACAATAAATTTAATCCTCAAGGCATTTGTAATTCAGAACACAGACTAGAACAGGAAGTACTGCAACTTTCTGCATTAAAGAAGTAAAACCGCCAGCAACATTAAACAGTTTTTAAGAATGTAACAAGAAATATAATAATTTAATATAAATTTAATGAAACTGCAAAGTGGCTAGTTTCAGCGAATGGATTTTTATAAAATGGGTAACCAAGCTGCGTTTTCAGACGTAAAATAAAAGCTATTGTCTACAAAAGACAAAACTTGGGGACGAAATGGGAAGCAAGGTTCAATTTAAAGGCTTTGTATTATAAACATTTAAACCTATAAATTCACTGTCAACACCTTACAACTCCAAAAATTCATTTAGATTTTATATTTTTAGAAAAAATTCAAAATAAATAAGATATGAATAATACGTCATAAACAACTTTATCATTGAAATCAGATTATCTAAAGTGCTCAAATAACTTATTATCACCATAATAACAATCAGCAGCCCATATTTAAACTTAACCTTACATTTTCAGTCAGCCAAAAAGAAAGATAAAATTAGTGAAAACTTTTAAATCATTTATTACAATTTGTAAATACCATTCCAGAAGATTTGCTTCTCCTTTATGGTAGTAACAGTCTCAGCATTTAACCTTTGACATTGTTCACTATCACATATATTGGAGTTTTAGAAATAATGCTCTTTGTGAAATAAAACCTTTTTTAATAATTTTGTTATAAAATTGGTAACAATGCCATTTTCTTCACACTCGTCAACATTACTAAAATTGATAGTTTACAATGTGACCCTTTTGTCAAAAACAACTTAAAATTTTACTTTACCAATCAAAATATAAGTTAAATTTTAAATATATATATCCTTATATATATATATCCTTAAAACTTTTCATTTAAAACCAATAAGTTCAAAAGGTTTCACTGTTGTCGAAAGCATAATTTTGCTTCTTATGAATCCTATGTGAAAATGCCTAAGAAGTAAAAAAATAAAAGTTAGACGAGGAACATCTGTAAATATTAGCTTATATGTCACTGTATGAATAGAGAAAGGTATTATGTCAAGTCGACCTTAATAAACGATAACTATAGTACTTCATATTGTCTTAAAAAGGGTTTGCTACTGTTTATTAATTTATGTAATATGCTTTGATTATTTTAATATTTTTCATATAGTTTTATAAATTTTTAAGTTTTTAGGATATTTACAGCTATTAGAAGAGCCTTTGTGAAAAGAAACGTAAAACGCCAAATTGAGTATTGTCTAGGCTAAGTAGAAAATAAATCATAACAGAATATAAAACTGAAATTATGAAACCTAAAATTGGATTTTCATGTATCATAATTTTATAGACAAGTTTCATTTGTCATATTCAGTCATCAATCTGGCCTCCCCACATGTTATTAGCATTCATATGGATTTTGTAAATGGTAAATAACTAGATTCAATTTCAAAAAAACCTTTTAACAAAAATCATACATTGTGTGGGTGTTATATTTCATAGGTTTCTGCACTTAAAAAACATTATTTACATTATCACCTTTAATAAGCATTCCTTATACAGTAAAATATTAAGTAAATATTAATATTAATATTGTGTAATTCTAATAAACCAGTTTTATATCACAATTACTTTTAATTGATTTTCCCTCATTTCTAAATTATAAATCACATCACAAACCATGCGAAACGTTTGAAAAACAAGGATTAAATTATTTATTTTCATTAGATAATAATTTTCAAATTACATCCGGTTATTAAGACAATCCATTTTGGTTTTGTACAATCCATTTTGAAACACTAGATTAGAAGATATAAGATACGAGGATAACACTGAAAATGTTTAGCCAGTTAGAAACATTGTTCAGGAAAACTTTTCTGAATTTCAATTTTAGAACTCTTTGGTAACCAAATGTAATTAATTGCTTTCATTTGTCATTTGTTTTTGTGAATTTGCGACAAATGTAAAAGTCTTATTATTCGTGAAAATAAATATAAACCGAGATAATTTTCCTGCAATGATTTCTTATGACTTTCGTTGTGGGCTTACTCAACAAAAAAGCTTTGATAGGCTGCGATTAGAATATCTTAAAGAATCTCATCTCATGCTACTATTTACAATTGGTTTAACGAGTTTAAACGTGGACTTAGTGAAAAAAATTACCGATGATTATCCGCATAAGGGACGTCCTTTAAACTCTGTTAAACCTCTGTTAACCTCTGTTAAAGGACGTCCCTTAAACGGATAATCATTGGTAATTTTTTAAGTAGACTCTTCTACTGAAGATAACATCAGTGTTGTGATAGACTGATAGATATAAGCAAAAAGTCATGTTCCAGAAATGTTACACTAACATTTAGGCATCAATAAGCTTTATACCAGATGGATTGCTCATACCATACCAACGACAAGAAACACCTTCGCATGAACTGATATCGCCAAATGTTAGATAAGTTCAATGGTTATAACTCAAAATTAGTATTTTTACATCGTCACAGGTGGATATATTGCTACGAACCCTAAACTAAAAGACAATCAGCTGAAATGGTATTTAATGGTAAAGGACAGTTACTGATGATTGGTATGTCAATCCTTGTTTGCTGGTTTTCTCGGAAATAAATTGACACTGGCGCCATCGAAACAGGATCCTCCTTGAATCCTTGACTCTTGCATATTTGACTACGGCAGGTGTCATGATAATGAATCATTCGCCATACAATCCGGACTCTGCGACCTGGGACTTTTATTTATTCCCAGGAATTAAAGATAAAATTTGAAGTATTCGCTGTACGAGCCCTGAAGATGCGGGAAAATCGTGAGGAATACCAAAAAAAAGACCCCTAAGGAATAATGGCCACTGCTTTTCTCAGTGGTACCATCGAATGCGACGATGTGTCGAGAGGACCGGAGATTGCTTCCAAAAACAATAAAAATATTGTATTGGAAACTTCTTTACTTTTGTTTTTTATTTTCTAAATATTTTCAGTCTTACTTATTTTATTTTCTTAAATTAATCAAATAGTTTTTTTTAATTAACATTGAACTTATGTCTATACTGATTCATGAATAAATCTTTGTTTATGTGAATGTAATATGTAAAACCACGAAATTGCATTTTGAAATTACCATTATTATATGTAGTTTTATATAAACATTATTCTCTTCCGTATTCCCGTCATGATTAATATCAGATGTTATTGTTCTATCATTGTGATTAAAGAGAGTCGAGTTGGACATTTCAAATTACCAACAATCACATATAATTATTTATACAAAGGGACTGAATCACTTGTACAATAAAATTTCACATAGCGATTGTTCTCGTACATTTTAATTATAGTAATGTAGGGGATGTAAACTTTTCTGCGATGTATTCAAATAACATCCCTGAATATTTGGGATAAATAGACAAACGACGAAAGTAACAAATTTATATTGACCTAAAAACTCTTATTCAATGTATAGTTAGTCATTTTACTTAATAAAAACTTAATTTCACAGAAAAATTTTAATATCTAGAATGTATAATTTAAAAAATATTTTATATTTAACTCCAAACTTTTGAAATAACACATCTGCTTTTTTCCCATCGTTAGGGAGACCGTAGTATGTTTTATTATAAAAATAGATATGTATTTATAAACTTTTGTTAAAGTTTTATATATTATTTCTACAATATAATACAAAAAATATATTTTACTAAAAACGATTACTTTTGCAATTTAAATGGCTAAGAAACGAAATATGAATATTTATTTTCTTGACAAAATATAAAAGTGTACTTCGTATTAGAAGTCATTGTTGACCAGTCAATAAGAAAAAAGGAACTGTTATATAAACAAGATTAAAGTAAATTCTGCGATTTAATGAAATTTATAGTTACGTCATTTTTATTGACTTATGTATTTATTGAAAAAAAAATAAAGAGAGGCTGACAAAAGCATTTTCCACAATTCAAACTTAAAGGATATTACTGTGGTACAAAACAATTAATTTCAATACTATGAGACTTTCAGTTGTTGACGAACTTCCAAATAATGAAGGCGCTAGGCTGCTCAGGGCCGCGTAAAACGTGCAAATAAGGGACAAAGCTTAAGGGATTTAAACTAAGTAATAATATGACAAGCGATAAAATACTTTTTAGTTATGACAGACTTAATCGTGATGACAGTGAAAAAAAATAACCGTTCTAATTCAACTTTTGCGAATTAATTAACATATAATATTATTATGATAGCATCTTTATCAATATAACTAAATAATATACAGTTCAGTAAATTATTAATTATGAAATTTATGTACATATATGAGAAGATTATTATTTTTAATTCCAAATCCAAAGCTTTGCTCTTAATATATTTTATTAAGACTTAATATAATAATAAGATGGTTTTATATCCGTAAAATAATTTCAACCTGTTAATTTACAAGTCATGATTTTAAATGTTCTTTTCATTGAATTTTGATCTCCTATTAAAAACGTGACTAAAAAATCTTTCCCCCGTAATTCTAAGTGGATAATTCCAAAATAAAGATACAATGAAGGGAAATTTCTTAATTAAATTTGTAAAAAAAGGAAATATACAAAATTTGAAGTCAACATTTATAAAGAAATTGAAAGCTTATGATCACTTTAAAAAGTAAGCTATAAGAATGTCATGTAAATGAAAATTGAAAAATACTTCGTGGACATTTTGTCTGCCTTTTTAACATCTCAGTATTTACTGCTTTGTAATTCTTATATTATGAACTCTTTTAACGAGCTGTCTAACCGGCCTGGATGTGTGAAGCTCGGCCTGGGCAGGCCTCTACTCACTAAAACCACTGCGATAGCGATCGGCCGCTATGTCAGTGTATCCCGGATCTGTCAGCGACAGGGCACACCAGCGATTGGCCGGTCCTAGCAAAGACCGGACTTACTCCCTCGGAGTATGGGGGCGATCCCGGCACTTAGGATCACCCCGACGACGCCGGGCTTTCACCGGAGCCGGGTTACCAAGCCGACCCCAACCCGGAGCACAAGGGTGCTATTGGAGGCGTTGTTCTATTGTGAACAATGTTATGGATGCCTATTTCATATTTTGTACTAAATTCTCAAGAATATTTCTAAAATAAAGTTAAACTAAAACCAAAAATATTATACTTACTATCAAACTAACATAGCCATGTATTCCGTTGTAGGCTTCGACAACATCTCTGAAATCTCCATCGCAGTATCCACATGTATCAGTTTTTATGGAAAGATTCAATTTGCTCTGAACATCGCTGACTACTTTGACTAAAATTGAACCCAAGTTCTCACTTCTCCCTCTAGATGCCTGTTCCTTGAGCACTGATAATATGTGAGACTCATTGATGCTTTTGCTATCCGAAGAGTTACCAGACGCCGCCAATATCTCTTGGAATATATCCAATAAAGTCTGCGATTTGTTTGACATTTTGCAAAAAGTTTTTCACACGTACAAAATGTGTTCTTGTGCCGACTTATCCATTTCAAATCACTGAAGCAATTCTCTGAAAGACAAAATATTATGTTAGTCCAAATCGTTGTTCGTAATGAACTAAGTAGATCACATATTTTCTTAGAACAATTAGATAAAAAATTGGTAGAACTTGATTTATGATACCAAAAGTTTTCAGGAGTACACATGAAAATAAAATAGTGACTTTCAAATATACTACGTGATTTATTATATTATTTGACAAATAACAAAACTAACTGACTTTCATCTCTTCTGCCCTTGATAACGTTTCTGAAAATAATCGAAGTCGGGTAAAATAGAAATTATTGTAATAAATATCGTAGTAGAACCAAAAATCGTAGTTTCTTTCAAACTTGCTATAGTGTATACTTAATAAAAAATATAATTTACGCTATCAATGAGGGCAATAGAAAGTATAAGAAAACAAACATAATGTGATTGCTTTTGGCCAGAAGCCAATTTCATCTCTGAAATATATAGATTTAAACTTTTAATACCGATAAAAAATTATTTCAAGAAGCTGCGCAAGTAATTAAATGTTATGGCTTCTCTTAGTTATATATACCTAATATTTTATAGTTAAAAATCTTTATACAATTTAAAAGTTCTTTGTAAAGCTGGCCATTATAAAGATGAATAAAATTTCATCTTAATGTATAGAATTATATTATACATACAATATGATAAAGAACAAATAAAATTCAAGTACCCAGTATATAAAGATAAAAAAAAACTTTTACAGTTAAAGTTTACACAACGTTAATTGAAATATGAGTACTCATTAAATTTGACGCATGAAGTTAATGTACTCGTACTCCAGCTTTTATAGCAAAAAAGATAATAAATGTCTCGTAAGATCCTCTTATAGGGAATAGTGATATATGCAACACAAACCAGATGCAATTCAGAATGGCAAGATGATGACAAATAGTTAATTACATTTGAGATAGTAAACTGTTCAATATTTATATATTGTGCTCTTAAGATAAATGTCTGTGGGAAAATGATACAATCACACTCATCAACTTATAAATTATGAATGATCTCGTTGAAAATAATGGCTTACTATAGTTTTAATTATAACCTTAAATTACGTTTGTTAATATGTAAAAGATTTACAAGGAAACATATCTTAAAATTCATTAAAATTGTTATGAGTATCTAAACCTTTCTCGTCGAGCGTTTTTAAAAGATATTATTTAAGTTATAAAATATCTTACAGCTTCATTTCCTATTGAATGCTATGAATTTTTCTTTTTCCGTTTGGAAACCTTCATCCACAGTGCTTTAATGGAAATAACGATCAGTGGAAAGAATTTGAAGACGCTTTAATTCAATCCAGTGATTGCTGCATGCTTCGAGTGGCTATTGTCCAGCGAAACGCGAAGTCTAGTTTATTGCCTTTTATCCGTAGTTCATTATCCAAATGACCGCGTGGAATTTTATGACAAACAAAGGACTTGACATACCTCGAAAAATATGATTGTTACTGTATGCAATGCAAACAGACCTTAACTTTATGGAGAATTTGATAATCATTCGTTTAAATTTCAAATAAATAATGTATAAGTTACTGTCGGGTAAATTGTGGCTCTTTTTTTATCTACAGATAGAAAATGTTCTTCATAAATGTTTGATTTACTTTTTTTTTTAAATTATCAATTGATTTATTCCATAGTGCTATAATATGAAATTGTTACTATAATGTTACTATAGCTGATATCACGTAGATTTAGTCTCTTAAAATATAATTATTCTTGAATATTTTTTTGTATTAAAATTATAACGACTATATTTTTAAAGTCAATTTCATTTAGAAGCTATCGAGAATAAATATTTGTTACCTAACTCATTCTTATATTATTGAAAATGAACTCGAAAAATGTTTCTCCAAAATTTTTAATTCTGAATGTTAAACTCGACGTAATCGAGTAATTATTTCTATTACTATTTGAAGCACAAAATTATCAGCATTATATTTAAAATGCAGCAACGGTAACAGACCGAAACTGTTCAACTGTTTGTGGCTATTCGTTAATTCTTTTGGACCAATTCCCTACTGACCATAGCGAAACTTAATACCACCATTAGTCCATACGACCTCATTATGCCATACTTCCACAACATGTTAATGGATATATCAGTTATAACCGGGATATCAAAGGTATTGTGGTCATTTATCACGGCGAGATCTTAAGGAAAATGATGACATGACAAATATTAGTGATAGTTATCCATCACTAAGAAAAACATGCTGTCATTTTAATCATTTAATATAGAAACGTTCCATAAATAATTTTGGGTAATAAAAATGTTTAATACTCTGCAGTCATTGAAATACTTGAATATTTAGTATTAGAATTAATATTTTTCTATAAAAAGAAGGAAATTATATATATTATTAACATATAAATTGATGTAAACATTGACCTAATATGGTTATAAATATTTTAGTCACGGAAAGAGGAAAAGCTGAGTTAAACAATTCATCCCAAATCCGTAGTCGTTACGGTATGATTGATGGCTATGATTAATAAAGTTAAACTAACTGAATTTGCTAGTAACTTTGAAAGAAAAGGGTCGATATTATAAACAAAATGACTCAAAGTTAAAACTTAACAAACAACAAGTATAAACATTTTTTTACTCCTATCATGAACAGACATGTTTTTCCTAAACACCCAGTGACACTAAAATGCTTTTTTTTCATTTAATAATATACATACACATAATCTTTACTACTTTTTTTACTTTTCTGTGCGAAGTGATTTCGAATAGGGAAAAATAAGAATCCGAGTAAATATGAGATAGCATATATGTATTTAAAATAAGAAAATTACCTAAAAGAAAATTGTATATCTTCCATTCTCATCTTTATCATTTCACTTTGTATACAAACGAGATCTAATACAAATTCAAAAGATCACACAATATGATCCACAATACGCTCAGTAATAGTTTTCAGGACGGGAAAATGTGATTGTGTCAATTTATTCAAAATTTTATGCATATATCTCACATTTAAATAAATAAATTTAGTTATTCAAATACGATTTTGATCTCCTGTTTGCATTTTATATGCTTTACATTATTAGAATTCAAATAAACAGTAAACATTAAAATTTCCTAAATTAGATACTATTTATCACATTGATATTGATTTTTGTACAATTATCTCCTTAAAATACGCCATAAAAATTATATGATTTTGAAAATAAACAATGATTTTATTATAAACAAAGTACTCCAGATGTTTGTTATAAAATATTTGATTTTAATATTCTAATGACTAACAGAAAGAGAAAAGACATGTAAGCGAAAATAAAATTATGTATCCAAATAAGAAATTTTGTAATTTCAAGGCCTTCAACATTCTAGAATTAGGCGCCAGTTTTAAAAACAAGTAGTATGTAAACAACTTCTTACTAATGTCTCCGAAAACAGAAAAGATATGTTAAAGATTTACAATTGTTATAACTCTTAATTTTGTTGTGTAAGAACTAATCTTCCCTTTTAAAATCAAAATCATATATTATACATTATTTTTAATAAGTATTCCAAAATTAATATATGAATGATGTCATCATTATACATCAAATATCCTTACTATCGCATTATGTTATAAACATATTTTATATCTATTTCAAGTAAATAAGAAAGCAACAATTATGTGTTAAAAGAAAAGATAAATCTCCAAAAATTAAGATCGCTCATTAAGTCTTCCTCTACGGAACTCTCAGTCTTAAGCCAAACCATTACGATCTTTAATTCATTAATTTTGAGAATCCATAAGGAGTGTTAACAATTTTTCATTCATCAATCTTTTACACATATTAATTATTAACGCAGGTAATTAAATGAGAAACAGGAAACGCTTCGTAGGTAGTATTACGATGCAAACTTGTGCTAAGCGTACGTAAGGTTCCTTTTTAAGTAATTTTGTATGTCTTCGTAACTTTAATTAAAGTTAATTAATGTTTTTTAATAATGTCCTTTGAAAAAATAACTCAACTTGATATGGTTTCAACTAGTACCGTACCTATATTGCCTAAATGTCTGTTCAGATTAAGTGGGGTGTGATTCATGTAGCTTTGCAATTTTAAGGTTTCTTCGTAGTAACTAAAACTTTATATTCCCTAAATAATGTATAACATGATTCGGGGAAGTTTTGCAAGAACTTCATGACAGAAAGACAGATCTAAACTGACTTGTAAAAGGGATTATTAAACTAACGCAAATAAAAATAATTTTCTATTATTATATATTGACTGTTAAATTTAGTTCTGAAATATATTGTAAAAATATACATACAATGATGAGAAAATCGTTTAATATAGATTTGTTTTTTAAATTCCTATTGTAGTAATAACAACTAGAAGTTATATTTGTTTCTGGAAAATTTGTTTCTTGTTTATTTAAAAAAAAAACATAATTTAAACATAATACAACATTTCCACATCAAACGATGAATAAAAATTTGTTTGTTATTGGTTTAACGAACCATAATACTTGATGATATGAAAAGTGAAATAAAAAAACAATTTCTGCTTTATATTATACGAGGAGCTTCCCACACATATAGAAATCTTCTACATTACTTCTTTCACTGTACCTCCATAAGCTTCCTTTAAAGCCTTTTATACAAATCATGAGGTACGAAAAAAATTTAAACCTTATTATGAAATAACGCATTATTATAATATATTATTGTTTTATAATATTTTTAATTTGATTGCACATAAGTTAATAAGGAAAATTTCCATTTTAAAACGGCTATAAAGCTAACATAATAAGGTAGAATCAATAACGTGTCAAAATAAAGTAATACAAAAATTAGGCAATTATAACCACGTAGGAAATATTATGAAATCATTTCAATACCAAATAATCTATAAATCAGTAATGTCATTACCATGTTATTATATTTTCAATTGAATGATACTATAGTACAGTAA